AGGTGCCGACAATCATTTTGTTTGCTTGCCAGTCTCCTAACAAATTATTAAAGCCATTTGCCAGCCATTGACTGTCCTGTCGAATGTCAATTCTCAGTTCGTTGTTTGGCTGAAACATAATCTCGCCACAGATGTTGTGGGTTGTGGCTGGGGTACTTTTTTTTCGAAAAGGGTTTATTGTTCCGACGCCCGTTTGATACTTTTTTGCAAACGGAAGTGGTTTAATCGTTTTGCAGCGACATCGACAAAATACTTTCAGTGCTGGGCATTTGGAGGAAATTATTTTACAGGCCGCCAATAATGATGACCAGTATTTAAGTGGTCTACATTGGGGCAGGGATGGGAAGTAGTAGTTATTGCTGAATAATGTATGACATACTCGTATTTGGGTTGACATTTTGGAAATCGAGGTGCACAGAGCAGGACATAGAGAATGAAGAATTTTGAAATTTTGGATGAGGGTCTAAAGGGGTGAAATAAGGCTGGATTTTTGGAAATACGTACGAAAAGGGTACGAAAAATATAAAAAGGTACTAAATATGATACCCTTTGTATTTGAGGAAGCATTTGAGCTACAACTTATCACTTTGGAATGAGGGTCACCGATGGCGTATATTATAGATGTAGTAAAGGGTTTTGGGAAATTCGCACTATAAGTGTACGAAAAGTACCAAAATGTCAAACATTTGGTACCATTTCGTATAATGGAAATCGAAGTGCACAGAGCTAGACATACAGAATGAAGAATTTTGAAATTTTGGATGAGGGTCTAAAGGGGTGAAATAAGGCTGGATTTTTGGAAATCCGTACTAGAACGGTACGATAAATATAAAAAGGTACTAAATATGATACCCTTTGTATTTGAGGAAGCATTACAACTAGAACTTATCAATTTGGGATGAGGGTCACCGATGGCGAATATTATAGATGTAATAAAGGGTTTTTGGAAATTCGCACTATAAGTGTACGAAAAGTACCAAAATGTACAACATTTGGTACCATTTCGTATAATGGAAATCGAAGTGCACAGAGGTAGACCTACAGAATGAAGAATCTCGAAATTTTGGTTTTGGAGTCCGAAGGTGTCAAAAAGGCTGGATTTTTGGAAATCCGTACTAGAACGGTACGAAAAATATAAAAAGGTACTAAATATGTTACCCTTTGTAGTTGGGAAGCATTACAGCTAGAACTTATCAATTTGGGATGAGGGTCACCGATTTGGAATGAGGGTCACCGATGGCGTACATTATAGATGTCATAAAGGGTACAAAATGTACCAAAATGTACAACATTTGGTACCAATTCCGTACCATTGAATAGTTAGAGCTAAAAACTAGAACTTTGGAATTGGAATCCAAGTTGAGGAGTTGAATCGATGTAAGGAGGTAGTTTTGGAAGTGTGTACTAATGTATACGAAAAGTACTAACCGATACTAAATTTCATACAATTTGGATTTGAAGGAACGGATGGAGGTGGAATCCTGAAATGTTAAATTAAAATTACTGGCGGAGTCTATAATTGGGATATGTAGTTAGTTTTCCAAATTTGTACTTATGTGCACGACAGGTACTAAATGGTACGAAATTCCATACAATTTTAATTTGTGTGAATCGACAGAGTTGGAATTTTGAAATTTAGAAATCAGAGTACTATTGTAGGTAGTTTTGGAAATTCGTACTTATGTGTACTAAATCGTACTTAATTTGGTACAATTTAAATTTTGGTCGAACCGGAAAAGTTGGAGTCCTGAAATTTTAAAATATGATTTCTATTGGACTAGTATGATAGATAGGTAGTTATAAAAATTTCTACTTAAGTGTACTAAATGGTACTAAATTTGGTACAATTTGGATTTGGGCGAACCAATAGAGCTGCTATCCTGAAATTTGAAATTGACATTACTGGCGGAGTGTATAATTGGGATATGTAGTTAGTTTTCGAAATTTGTTCTCATGTGCACGAAAAGTACAAAATGGTACGAAATTTGATAAAATTTCAATTTGAGTGAATCGATAGAACTGGAATTCTGAAATTTAGAAATAAGAGTACTATTGTATGTAGTTTTGGAAATTCGTACCTATGTGTACTAATTCGTACTAAATTTTGTACAATTTCAATTTTGGTCGAACCGGTAAAGTTGGAGTCCTGAAATTTGAAAATATGATTTCTATTGGACTGGTATGTTATAGTTAGTATGATAGGTAGAAGTTAGGTAGTTATGAACATTTGTACTTAAGTTTACTAAATGGTACTAAATTTGGTACAATTCGGATTTGAGTGAATCAATAGAGCTGGTATCCTGGAAATTGGAAATAAGATTACTGTTGGATTGTGGTATTAGAATATGTAGTTAGTTTTCGAAATTTGTACTTATGTGCACTTAAAGTACTAAATGGTACGAAATTTGATAAAATTTCAATTTGAGTGAATCGATAGAGTTGGAATTCTGAAATTTAGAAATAAGAGTACTATTGTAGGTAGTTTTGGAAATTCGTACCTAGTATGTGTACTAAAACGTACAAAATTTGGTACAATTTAAATTTTGGTCGAACCGGTAAAGTTGGAGTCCTGAAATTTGAAAAAAAGATTTCAATTGGACTGTATGATATGAAACTTATGAAAACTTGTACATAAGTGTACTAAATGGTACTAATTTTGGTACAATTTGGATTTTGGAGAACCAATAGAGCTGGTATCTTAAATATTGGAGAAAAGACTAATGTCGAATTGTGGTATTGGGATATGTAGTTAGTTTTCGAAATTTGTACTTATGTGCACGAAGAGTACTAAATGGTACAAAATTTGATAAAATTTAAATTTGAGTGAATCGATAGAGCTAGAATTTTGAAATTTAGAAATGAGATTACTATTGAAGGGAGTTTTGAAAATTCTTACTTTTGTGTACAAAATCGTACTAAATTTGGTACAAATTAAATTTTGGCGGAACTGATAAAGTTGGAGTCCTAAAATTTGAAAATAAGATTTCTATTGAACTGATATGATAGGAAGGGTAGTTATGAAAATGTCTACTTAAGTGTACTAAATTTGGTACAATTTGGATTTGGCGAACCAATAGAGCTAATATCCTGAAAATTGGAAATATGATTACTGTCGGATTGTGGTACACATATCCCAAGTAGTTAGTTTTCGAAATTTGTACTTATATGCACGAAAAGTACTAAATGGTACGAAATTTGATACAATTTCGATTTGGATGAATCGACAGAGCTGGAATTCTGAAATTTAGAAATAAGATTACTATTGAAGGGAGTTTTGGAAATTCGTACCTATGTGTACTAAATCGTACTTAATTTCGTACAATTTAAATTTTGGTCGAACTGGTAAAGTTGAAGTCCTGAAATTTGAAAATAAGATTTATATTGGACTGGTATGATAGGTAGGTAGTTATGAAAATTTGTACTTAAGTGTTCTAAATGGTACTAAATTTGGTACAATTTGGATTTGGGTGAACCAATAGAGCTGGTATCCTGAAAATTGGAAATAAGACTAGTATCGGATTGTGGAATTGGAAATTTTTTAAATATTAGTTTTGGAGATTAAACTAAACAAGTAAAAAAGCTGTAAATTCGGCCGGGCCGAACTTTCAATACCCTCCACCATTTGGAATGTATTTGGCAATTCTCAAAAACAATTAAATCCATTAAAAATTCTGTTAAAATCTTAAAAATACCGAAAGAAGCTGTCATATTAGGGTCAATACGACGACATGGACCTACATAGGTAATATATTTGTCATAAGCCATTACAATATTCAAATGCGAAACTTAAAAAAATCGGTAATAATGTTGATAAAATCATAAAATTAGGGAATATCGGGAGATACCGTTATATGGGGGCTCTACGAAGAGGTGGACCTGCATAGACAATTTTCTGTCTTAGGCTGTAGTATCCATTACGAACTTCAAATGCCAATTTTGAAACAATTCCGGTGAAAAATGTCGTTAAAATTATTAAAATGCCGAATATTGGGAGATACCGTTATATGGGGGCTATACGAAGACGTGGACCTGCACAGACAATTTTCTGTCTTAGGCTGTAGTATCCATTACGAACTTAAAATACCAAATTTGTAACAATTCCGGTGAATAATGTCGCTAAAATTATTAAAATGCCGAATAACGGGAGGTACAGTTATATGGGGACTCTACGAAGAGGTGGACATGCATATTTTTCTGTCTTCAAATACCAAATTTAAAACAATTCCGGTTAATAATGTGGCTAAAATTATCAAAATACCTAATATCAGGAGGTTCCGTTATATGGGGACTACACCAAAACGTGGACCTACATAGCCCATTTTCAATACCAAAAGTCCCGCAGACATAACATACATTTGAGTAAAATTTTATCAGTCTACTTCAATTCGTTCGGAAGCTAGAGTGATTTCCACAGACGGATAGACGGATGTGTATTTCGTGGTGAACCGTTGATGAACCGTTGGACCTGGAATTCTGAAATTTGGAATTAGAGTCGCTGTTGGTATCTGGAATTGAAATATGGAATTGGTTTTGGAAATAAGTGCCAAAATTGTACGAAAAGTACTAAGTGGAACAAAATTTGGTATTCGGTGAAGGGATAGGGCTGAAATCTCGAAATTTTATATTGAGGTCTCTGTTGGTATCTCGGATTGAGATATGATTGTGGTTTTGGAAATGTGTACTATAATTGTACGAAAAGTACTAAATATCACTTAATTGGGTATTGGGAGAGGGATAAAGCTCCAATCCCGAAATTTGATATTGAATTCGGAAGGGGACCCGGGACCCAAACTAGATTTTCTCTCCGGGCCGAATTTTATCAACCTCCCTGGCGAAATTTGATCTTTTTACTGCACAAAGTTTCACTGGCTAAGAAAAATTTTCATATTTCAGATTATGTGGGCAGAACTGACCCAGATGATATAATGGAAATATAACTCTACCATTTTGTTTATATTCTCTTATTAAATTTTTACATTCCTCCTCTCTATTCTTTGCAGGATGATGGCTGGAAATTGAATCGCACCAATTACTATCAGGAAGGCTGGCTGGCCACGGGCAATGTTCGTGGCATTGTGGGTGTGACCTTTACCACCTCGCATTGTCGCAAAAATGTTGAATATCCTTTACGTACAAATTACAATTTAAGAGGACACAGATCAGATGTAAGTCCACCCCCTTCCCTCCCTCAAATATTTTACTTCCACGAGTTATTTGAATTATTTGAAATGTTCTCTTCACCCCCCCCCCCCCCCCCCCCCCCAGGTTATTCTAGTCAAATGGAATGAACCATATCAAAAATTGGCATCCTGTGATAGTTCGGGCATTATATTTGTATGGATCAAGTACGAGGGTCGCTGGTCCATTGAACTGATAAATGATCGCAACACACCGGTGACACATTTCTCGTGGTCCCACGATGGTCGCATGGCCTTGATATGTTATCAGGATGGTTTTGTGCTGGTGGGATCGGTGGCGGGCCAACGCTACTGGTCATCGATGTTGAATTTGGAATCGACCATTACCTGTGGCATTTGGACGCCGGATGATCAGCAGGTCTATTTTGGTACCACTCAAGGGCAGGTCATTGTCATGGATGTCCACGGGGCCATGGTGTCTCAGGTCCAGCTGTGCAATGATGTGGGCATAACCTCCATGTCATGGTCATGTGAAAAATTCAAAATGGAGGAGGGCGAGGAGTCGGAGCCGGGTGTTACCAATGCGGGTAGGCGTGGATGTCAAACAATTTTCTTTGATTTTTCAATGATTTCCCCTTTTTTCCAGCCAAACGTTCCTTTGTCCTGGCGGTTAGCTTTCAAAACGGTTTTATTTATCTGCTGAAATCTTTCGATGATGTTTCACCCTCACATATCAATACGGGTTTGGATGGTGCCCTGGGCATGGTCATGGAATGGAGCAATTCACGAGAGCTGCTTGCCGTGGCGGGGACATCGCAAAAGGCCACATCTCTGGCGGAGAATGCCAACAGCCCAGGGGTGGTGTATAATAATCTGCTGAAATTCTACACCGAAACGGGGGCGCTGCTCTATCAGGCCCACATACCCAATTCCAATGCCCCAGTATCGGCTTTGACGTGGGGCCATAACGACAAACGCCTGTTCATTGCCACCGGCACCCAGGTCCATATTGCCTGGGTCTCGAGGCGTGTGGCCTCGCTACAGCTGCTATGTCGCCTGCAGATACAAGCCAGCATAGGATCGGAAACTCTATTGCCATTGTTGCCTTTGCCGTCAAGAATTAAAACTCTGATCGGTAATCTTTTTGCTCAAACAATTCGAGTAGGTTTTCGCCCCCACCTCCGCCATGGATGAGAAACATAAATTTATTGTTGTTGTTTTTCTCGGTCTCCTTGCAGTGTTGTGTACCTGATTTAAAATCTCTTAGAGAGTTCGTATCGCGTCCTCCTTTATGTTCGACGCGTTTACACTGTACCATGATAAGGCATGATGATGATTCGAACATTAGTTCCGGGACATGTTATACCCTGTATCTGGAATATTTGGGGGGATTGGTGCCGCTGTTAAAAGGGAAGAGGACCTCTAAAATACGTCCGGAATTTGTAATCTTTGATCCGCAGGTGAATGGTAAGTTAAGGTCATTTTATAACCAAGAGGTCGTGAATAACTCACTCTTCTCTCTCTCTCTCTCTCTCTTCTCTCTCTCTTATCTCTTTTACCAGAAACTTCCCATTTCTTTCAACACTCACCGGGCTCGAAAAGTTCTTCCTCGTCCAGCCAATCGACCAGTACCACCGCCAACGGTCGCACCGATTCTTCAGATTCGGAATATGATGAGCGATTACGTGGCTCTCCTCATACGCCACGTAAACGGCGCATACGCCAGCAAAAACGCCATGGAAATGGTCATGATCGGAATACCTTGACCACAACCAGCAATGATGGCAGTGATGCCCTGGATGAACTGGCCTATGTAGATACCCTGCCAGAGGTATGGCCACTATCTAAACAATATTTCCTTCTTAACCTCTACTTCTTCTCCTTTCCATTCCAGGAAGTAAAACTGGTTGAGGTCACCTCCAACATTTGGGGTACCAAATTCAAAATGCATGGCCTGGCCAAAACCGTCCCAGCCAATTTGGGTCAAGTCACCTACAAAACGTCCCTGCTGCACTTGCAACCGCGTCAAATGACCCTCGTCATTACAGAGTTGAGAGATGATTTTCCTCTTGGTCCAGATCCCAGCTTTAATCCGAATCTCTTTTCGGAAGATGAAGATGAAAATCATGCTCAGTCATCTGCTGCAGTGGCCGAAGTGGCGTTACCCAATGATTCCGGTGGTGGTGGTGGCGGCGGGGGATTGGCTAACCGGAAACTCAACGAACTTGCACCGCCCATTGCACCCATGTCACCGCGACCCAATCGCTTGTTGGCTCGTCATCGCAACTCCTCCTCCTCCTCAACGTCGAATGGTGGCAATCAAATAGCCGGGGCCTTGGGTCGCAGCCCTTTGGCTCGTGCCGAGTCTTACGATGACGATTCAACAAGTGAATCTCCCGAGGCGGCCGCTCCCGGTCCCTCAACATCGGCCGCCGCCTCATCCTCCTCCTCGTCATCTCACAAAGTTTTACGTCCAAAAAACATCACCTCCACCTTTGGCCGGCCCAATGGCAGTTCATGCGGCCAGTCACGTCATGCCATATCACCGCTCTTCAGCGATGGATCCGTCCCCACTTTACAATCACCCAAAAATGCCGTGGCACCCACTGATATTATCTTTGAACGTCCAGCCGTATCGGCAAATGGCCAGACCACCCTAATGTCCTATTCCAGTAATGCAGATTACACCAACAATGTCGTCCAGGTTAAGAATGCTTTACTCACGGAATCGTTACGCTCCACCAATAGTCATGTCAATCCAGTGCCTCTAAATTTAAGTTTGAATTTGGAACGTATGGATGCGGCGGCCAAGGTGAAGGCCATGGCGTCGCAGCCATCCACGTCGAAGAAACGGGAAATGCAATTCATTGATGATGAAATGCAGGCATCGTCGTCGGCAGCAGCAGCGGCGATAGCTCAAAATACAGTGAATGCCGTTGTGGCCCCAGTTCCTCCGCCATCTGATGTCACCAATCCCATGAAACGCACCCCCACTGTGGTATCCATTGCCCCCGTGTCCACAGATGTCATAACGCGTAGCTGTAGCGTTGGCTATCTGGATTCTGTGGCCATAACACCATCCGATGAGGCCTTGACGGCCTTGCGCCGAGAGGCTCCCCACAAAAGACTTATTTTGGTAGACAATAGGAAGTGTCGCAAAAAGCGCATGCATCAGGGGGTTAGTATGGCTCCATTTAAATACCGAACACCTTTCCTCCGAAAAAAAACATTAATTCATTTCCCATCTTTCTATTCCTCCAGGACTCCAGCAAACCCCGCTTGGTTATGACTGGCAAATCGAAAAGTCTAGATTCCTGTGATTTACTTTCGACTCAGGCAAAGCTAAATAGCAAACAATTGGAGAAGTTACACGAAGAAACCCTAGCAGCAGTAGGTGCCTCCAGCAAAAAGAAATCCACATGTTCCTCTTGCACAGCGACCAGTGGTAGTGCGGTTGAAGACTGCAAACACTCTCTGCCATCGGGATCGATATCGAAGAGTGCAATAATCCCCAAAGATGAAGATGATGATGACGATATCATTCGAGCTGATCTCGATATACCCGCATGTCGTGAACCGTCCAAAGATCAAGAAATCAAGTGTCACAAACCGGCCGCAGAAAATATGCCAAGGCGGCGGATCGATGTCATCACCAGTTTCACAGATAGTCCATTGTTTACACGGAAACATCGTTTTGGTAATCGTAACAATGGCGATACTTCCTCGCCGACATTAGGTAGGAAAAATGAGAATGGTTTCAGTTTAGTTAAACAATTGACGGAGGGTCGTTGGCGGCGCAAAGATGCCAAACAGGCCACGCCAGCGAATTCACTGGATGGCAAGCCACTTTCTGGGGCTGGCGATGGCGCCCAACAGCAACGGTCGACGGAGAATAGAAATAGTGATACCATCGAAGCAACGCCTGTAGAATCTAGAGCTTCTGTTTCATTACATACTCAGGTGAGTTGGAGACCCTCATAGAAAATCTGAAATTAATTTCCAATTTTTTCTCTCTCCCGCAGGCCCTTACCACACTAGAGAACATCATTAGTAGACTAAGAGATTTAGATGAACATCTGACACCACCTGCTACCCCACATCGTCTGCCGCGCAGCTCGCCAGCCTCCCCGGCAGCGAGTAAAAAAAACAAACGCTATCAGAGTAGCTCACCGATACGAACTATTTTGAATTCCCCGCTTTTGAATAGACGCCAGCGTAAGAAACAAAACATCATCGATAGCTCCGATGATGAAGCGAATGGTGGCAATGGTTCTGGGGAGGAAAACACCAATGCCAATGGCTGTAGTAAACAATATCGCGATTTGGAAACATTCCAAAAGGCTCAGCTGAGGCAAAAGGTAAGTTTGTGGGATTCAATGTTAAATTGTAAAAGGTGAGAATACATAAGGGGTTTCATTGCTGGTATTAGCCATCGACTGAATTTTCCGTAAAGGAGCATAGATTTAGGTCGCTTTGCGAAAAATTCCAATTTTTTCAATCATTGAAGGGAGAACTCGGTAGATTATGAAAGCCGAGCTAAAATAGTCGCCACTTATATCGAGGTTTACTTATCGCAAATTAACCTAAATACAAGAGGCAAGCTCCCCCGTTTTCACTTTTTTTTTCAACATTTTCGGATTAGGAATCTTTGAAATCGTTGCTTTTAAGGTATATGCAGGGTGAGATAAAAAAAAACTGCAACAAAGTCAAACGCCATAATTTTTACATTTTTTTTTAATTTTATTGAATGAAAGCAAACAAATTCGGAAATAGCATCAAATTTTAGAATAAGTTTAGATTTGTTCGAATTGGTCACCTTTGGCACGAATTATGGCCTTCAAACGGTCAACGAAACCATCACACGCTGCCCGAATGTTGCTCTGCGGTTTTTTGGCCCATTCCCGGCGAAGCGCTTGCTTGAGGTGATCGACACTTTGGTATTTTTAGTGCTAACCATGCTTTCCAAAATACTCCAGACACAATGGTCCAGCGGATTGGTATCCGAAGATTTTGGTGGCCATTTTGCCCAGGAAATGAAGCGAGAAACCTCATTTTGTAACCATTCTTGGGTGGCGGCGCATGCTAAGTGCGATGGTGCTGAGTCCTGTTGGAATGTCCAAGGTCTGCGGACAAAATGTTTGCGTGCCCAAGGCTTTAATACACCCTCCAGAATATTTCGGAGCGGAGAGCGACCATCGCCTGTTATGGCGGCCCCCACACCATCACCATGGCCGGCGCTTGAGTTCTGGTGGCCAACAGAAGTCGGTGCCTATTTTTAGCTGACCTCTTTGGCAAGTAAACATGATCATTTTGTTTGTTTACAAACTGCAGGACAACGAATGTTTTCTCATCGGAGACGGAGAAAAGCAAATTCGGCAGTTCACTACTTTCGGCCAAGCGAAGCAACTGTTAAGCTCTTTTAAGTCTATTTTCTTTCTGTTGCGGTGTAAGTTCCTGCAGTTTTTGGAATTTCAATGGCTTTATCCCGAACTCTTTTTTCAATATTTGCCGAATGGAATTTTGCGATATGTTCAGCTCACAGGCCATTTTTCGGCCACTGCGACGCGGAAAGCTTTTGTGCGCTTGTAAACAATATAATGAGCTGTCACTGGAATAATTTTAACAGCCATCGGAGGAGTGGTTTAGAAATGACAGCACTCTGATGGTCTGTTAGTTGCAGTTTTTTTATCTCACCCTGTATATTTATGGGAGCTATTCCCAAACCACAACCGATTTCAATATAATTTGGCAAATTTGTTTTGATACCATATTTCGTCTCTCTATCCGAATTTTATTGAAATCGGACATACATATCGCATTGGGTGCATTAAATATTTGAAATCGGTGGAAAATGTATATGGGCGTTATATCCAAATCTGAACCGATTTCAATATAATTGGCAAATTTAATTTTGTTCCAAATTCCGTTAAGCATTCCAAATTTGGAGATTATATCTGTAATCGATCAATAGATATGTGTATATAAAATCTAAATTTTTTTAGAGGTGCCTCCGATTCTGATGCTATATCTCCAGTTCCAAGTGGAATTTCAGGCTATGCTGTAGTATATTTGGAAATTTTCAGAAAAATCTGTGCAGCGGTTTTCGAGTTCATAAATTACAAACATTTTCCTCTTTGAAAGATATAGCTGGCATTTTCCCTAATCCTTTTGTTTCAGCTAAAACGCGGGCGCATTGAACCCAACGGCTCCTCCACGTGTAATAATCCGGCTCCAGTGCGTCGAGAATTTGTCATGCATAATAAGGCTCCGATGTGGAATGAAATGAGTCAGGTGTATCAATTGGACTTTGGTGGACGTGTGACACAGGAATCGGCAAAAAATTTCCAGATTGAATTTCGAGGAAAACAGGTGGGGTCTTTGAATTCCAGGATTGGAATCTCTTTAAAATTCTCCTTTTTTTCGTTTCTTCCCATTTAGGTTATGCAATTTGGACGTATCGATGGCAATGCCTACACCTTGGATTTTCAATATCCATTTTCGGCATTGCAGGCATTCGCTGTGGCCCTGGCCAATGTAACACAACGCTTAAAATAAATTTTTTTAGGTGGAAGATCTTCCACTCTTCCTCCGTATTTTTGTTGACTTGGTTTATGAACCAGAAAAAAAAGGAAAACTTAACAAAAAAAAAACAAAAACTAAATTAGGTTGTAGAACACGGAACACTTTATCATTTCCGCGGGAATAAAATAAAATTAGCAAAAATAAAAAAAAAAAAAAAAAACAAAAAAAAAACTTTTGCCCTAGGTTATACAAATACAGAGATAAAAAAATTAAAAAAAAACATAGGAAATAATTTCTAAAAAAAAAAGAAGACACTAGAAAAAAATCAACTAATTTGCAAAAATAATGAGAAAAAAATACAAATACTAGTAAAAATTACAATTAAATGCAAACATACAAAGCAACAATATTTTGTTGTGAATTTTAAAAGCAACTCCACCCCCCACACAGTCACAATTTTATCCCTTATCACCCTCTCATACCACTGAAACAAATAAATAATGTATAAAATTAAATAACAAGGAACAGTCATTAAAAATATACCAACAAATATTAAAACTAATTGCTTATTACACACACACACACACAAATACAAACATTTTTTTGATGAAATATTAACTTACAAATGAAAATATTTTCCATAATTCCAATATTTTTAATCGTAAATATGAATAACACGAAAAGAATGGCAAAAGAAACTGATGAAATTTATCGATTAAATGTGCAATAATAAAAATAATTATACATATTGGAGTCACATACATACGAGTATATATTAAAATGTATATATATACCACTTGATTGAAGGTGAATTTTTAAGGGAAAATTGAAAAAAAAATAGTTTTTTAAAAATTGCATAGATAGAACATTTTGTTTTGTCATGGTCCCCCTAAGCCCTTGTTTTCACTCTATAGACGACAGATGGCAACACGGAGAATACCAACAGAGGGTATGGAGAGATTCTCAACATCAGTCATAAAAAGAGTTTATCCTCTTTTCGTCTATTTCTAAACTCTAATAGAACGATACCGGATTGACTCAAAACAAGTCAAATAGTTTCTTTATGGGGGAGATTCCGAAGCAGTTGGCAAATATTGACCAAATCGTATGTGACCAAAGACTGATTTTAAGACAGATTTGGAATATATCGACTACTTCATATATGGTTGATTTATATGGTATGGTTGGTTTAAAAAAAATATAAGACAAATTTAAACAAGTAAAGTTCGTCCAGTTAGAACGAATTTGAAAATTTTCAAAAAATAAAATCCGTTAAAAATTCTGTTAACATTTTAAAAATACCGAATACAAAGACATAGAAGTGTAAAGATAGGACAAGACAAAAATAAAATATGGCAACCCTGTGAAAATGCCTCTGTTGTTACGATATCATAACAACATAGTTACCAATGTTAACTGATTCAAACCGATAAGGCAAAACTGAAAATTTTTGAAAAGGTCTATGGAATAGAATTTTGAAACCAAAATTTCAAATTTTTCAAGTTTTTATTTATTATTCGTTTTTGTAATTGTGGTTTTTATATTAGCATGTCTCTGCCATATGCTGTTACTCTATGTATTGTAGACACAAACCACTTGCTCAAAATGTATTTTGTCTAGTCTTTACCATTTTAGGTCTTTGCCGAATATAGCCGTTATTTCAGGGCCTGTACGACGTGCACCTACATAGGCATTGTTTGTCACAAGCCATTACCATTTTCAAATTGGAAACTTAAAATAAACGGTGAATAATGTAGCCAAAATCATCAAAATACCGTACATAGGGAGTTACCGTTATATAGGAGCTATACGAAGACCTGGACCTGCATAGACAATTTTCTGTCACAGGCTGTAACTTCCATTACGAACTTCAAATACGACACCTCAAACAATTTCGGTGAGTATTGTACCTAAAATCAAAATACCGAATATAAGGAGGTACTGGTACATGGGGCCTATACGAAGACCTGGACCTGCATAGGCAATTTTCTGTCACAGACTATAGTTCCGATTACGAACTTCAAATACCAAATTCGAAACGATTCCGGTGAATAATGTCGCTAAAATCATCAAAACACCGAATATCGGGAGGTACCGTTATATGGGGGCTATACGAAGACGTAGACCTGCACAGATAATTTTCTGTCTTAGGCTGTAGTATCCATTACGAACTTCAAATGCCAAATTTGAAACAATTCCGGTGAATAATGTCGTTAAAATCATCGAAATACCGAATATCGGGAGGTACCGTTATATGGAGGCTATATGATAACGTGGACCTACATGGCTCATTTTCTGTCTTACGATGTAGTATCCATTACGAACTTCAAATACCAAAATTGAAACAATTCCGGTGAACAATGTCGCTAAAGTCATCAAAATACCGAATATCGGGAGGTACTTTTATATGGGGGCTATACGAAGACGTGGGCCTACATGGCTCATTTTATGTCTTAGGATGTAGTATCCATTACGAACTTCAAATACCAAAATTGAAACAATTCCGGTAAATAATGTCGCTAAAATCATCAAAATTCCGAATATAGGGAGGTACACCTATATGGGGGCTATACGAAGACGTGGACCTACATGACCTATTTTCATTACCAAAAGTCCTCCAGACATAATATACATTTGAGTAAAATTTTATCAATCTACTTCATTTCGTTCGGAAGCTGGAGTGATTTCCACAGACGTATAGACGGAGAGGCGGGCGGACATCTCAAAATCGAAATAGAATTTTATGCTGATCAAGACTATATTTACTTTGTGGGGTTTTAAATGTATATTTCGAGTTGTAACAAACGGAATGACAAACTTAATATACCCTCCATACTATGGTGGAGGGTATAAAAAAGATCGAGCCTACATATATCAAAATACATGCTAATCAATATAAAAAAGGCTTCATCTCCATGAAATCCCTAAGAAATCTTGTAGGGTGGCTATTCACTAATGTCGACTGTCAACGCTATTTGTGATATAGGACTTGGATCTCAAGTCACTTGGCGACCGATTTTGAAAATAGACTTATGAAAACAGTTTTATTTTTTTTCCTTTGAGCTCAATTTTCCCACCTCTTCAGGTGCTAGTCCTGCAGAAAAAAATTCTGTAGCTATTACAAATATAGGATTCTCTAACTCATTTTTTGAGTTACCGACAAAAATCGGTCTAAAAAAGAAATAAAAGTAGACAACATTGGTATCTATCGGTAGGCTTTAGTGACTACATTAATTTCATTGATAACTTACCGACAAATTTCGTTAATTTGAATTTTACCGATTTTCAATCGGTAACTCGAATAATGATTTAGAGAATCGCACTACAGACACCCAATTGCATCAGAAGACATGTCTCAAGCATTTGCTTCAAATACCATGATAGGAATCATCCTAGCTATTAAAGGGTTAATAGAACACTTGTATGGGCCACCCTGGCTACGTCGATGCACCCAATACGCTACCCTCAGTTAAAGATCCCCCCTAGATTAAACAATATTTAGTATAGCCTTTACTTTCAAAATTCCAATACTTTGGATATTTTGTAAAAACTAAAATTCTTAAAACAAATCTCAATAAATTTACTTTCAATGGAACACACACACACGATCCAAAAACACTTATACATTACATTACACACATATATATATATACAAAATACCCCTTATATACAAAAAAACTACAGGCAAATATATTTTTTATTTGTGTTGTAATGTATTTATAAAAATTCAAAAAAAAACAACTAAAAACAAATATTTTAAGCTTATTGAATGAAAATAAATGCTGTGCTTTTAAATGTGTGTCTCACTGTCTAACTGTCTGCCTGTCAATGTCTCTCGGCCTGAGCTAAGTGTATTTTCAAATTATTGATTGCAATTTTTTTTGTCTGTGTACGAATGAATGAATGGATGTGTGTTTTTTTTATCAGCAGCTATCCAAGCATTTATGATAAAGAGGAGACAAAGCAGAATTCTTTGAGACAAACGACAACAACAACAAATGAATTAATTAAATTAAATCTTGAAATTGTGCAAATTTCAAAAAAATATTTTGATAAATTAAATTACAAAAATATAAAACAAATAAATGAAATGGATGAATTGTAACTTAAGATATTTTTAGCTACTGTATTTCATTTCTTTTTAGCTCCGAGTAAATTTTAAGTAATGCAAATGCTAAAGAAAATAAGAAAAACAACAACAACAACAACCGAAACAAAAATAACGTAATTAACATGTCTCCGTTCCATTTTTTCTTCTAATTTTACTTTTTTAATTTAAACTTTTTAAACAAAACTCAAGTGCAATATATATTAAATGAAAATTAAAGAAAATGGAAGAAAACAAAAATAAGAAAAATTAAAAACAAATACTTATATCAATAAATAGTCAAAATGATTTATATCCTTTGAAAAACGTTGAAGTGGTTTTATTTCAAATAACTGGGGAAAGGCCAGTAGTCTTTTAAAAATCCAAAGCAATTATCTATGACTGTTAATTGACTGAATTTAAAAACAATTCAGAGCATACTTTTAGGCGCAAGAAAAACTATATGAAGTGACCACACTTCTTATATCTTTTTATATCTCTTATAGAAAATCAACTTGTCTTCTATAAAAAAAAACTCTTCTTCTGATCTTCAATGAGAAGAACAACTGGTATGCAATGAGAAAACACCAATTGGTCTTCTATGAGAAGACAAAAAGCCTTCTATTGAAAGACCAACGGGCCTTCTAGAAGAAGACCTTCCAGTCTTCTAGGAGAAGACCAACGGGCATTCTAGAAGAAAACCTTCCAGTCTTCTAGGAGAACACCAAGGGACCTTCTAGAAGAAGACCTTCAGAGCAAGTGGCCTTCTATGAGAAGACTTTCCCGTCTTCTATGAGAAGACTTTCCCGTCTTCTATGAGAAGACTTTCCCGTCTTCTATGAGAAGACTTTCCCGTCTTCTATGAGAAGACTACCCCGTCTTCTATGAGAAGACCAACAGGTCTTCTATAAGAAGACCAACTGGTCTTCTGTGAGAAGACCAACTGGTCTTCTGTGAGAAGACCAACTGGTCTTCTGTGAGAAGACCAACTGGTTTTCTAGGAGAAGACCAACTGGTTTTCTGTGAGAAGACCAACTGGTTTTCTAGGAAAAGACCAACTGGTCTTCTTGGAGAAGACCAACTGGTCCTCTAGGAGAAGACCAACTGGTCTTCTAGGAGAAGACCAACTGGTCTTCTTGGAGAAGACCAACTGGTCTTCTAGGAGAAGACCAACTGGTCTTCTAGGAGAAGACCAACTGGTCTTCTTGGAGAAGACCAACTGGTCTTCTTGGAGAAGACCAACTGGTCTTCTAGGAAAAGACCAACTGGTCTTCTAGGAGAAGATCAACACACTGGTCTTCTAGGAGAAGACCAACACACTGGTCTTCTAGGAGAAGACCAACACACTGGTCTTCTAGGAGAAGACCAACACACTGGTCTTCTAGGAGAAGACCAACACACTGGTCTTCTAGGAGAAGACCAACACACTGGTCTTCTAGGAGAAGACCAACCGGTCTTCTATGAGAAGACCAACCGGTCTTCTACGAGAAGACCAACTGGTCTTCTAGGAGAAGACCAACACACTGGTCTTCTAGGAGAAGACCAACCGGTCTTCTATGAGAAGACCAACCGGTCTTCTACGAGAAGACCAACCGGTCTTCTATGAGAAGACCAACCGGTCTTCTACGAGAAGACCAACCGGTCTTCTACGAGAAGACCAACCGGTCTTCTATGAGAAAACCAACTGGTCTTCTATGAGAATACCAACTGGTCTTCTATGAGAAGACCAACTGGTCTTCTATGAGAAGACCAACTTCTTCTCTTAGAAGACCAACTGGTCTTCCCTTAGAAGACCAACTGGTCTTCTATGAGAAGATCAACTGGTCTTCTGTGAGAAGACCAACTGGTCTTCTTTGAGAAGACCAACTGGTCTTCTATGAGAAGACTTTCCCGTCTTCTATGAGTAGACTTTCCCGTCTGCTATGAGAAGACCAACTGGTCTTCTATGAGAAGACCAACCGGTCTTCCTATGAGAAGACCAATAAGAATACCTTCTGGTCTTCTATAAGAAAACCTTCTGATCTTCTATAAGATGACCTCATGGACTTTTATAAGAAAACCTTTTGGTCTTCTATAAGAAAACCTTCTGGCCTTCTATATGATGACCTTCCTACTTATTGTGTCCTCAAGCGATAGTCATTTTTAGTTTCCTATAATAGGATCATTTAAATTTATTTAATTTTACATTTATTTTTAAAATTCTTTCGATTAGTACTACCAAACATTGATATTAAATATCACAAGCACTGTATACACTTAACAATTGCCTTAATATTAAACAATAAACTATGTATTCTTCTTTTTCGCCTCGTTTTCATTGGCAATTTCCAGTCGTTCCCATTCTGGTATGGGTTTTTCTTTCACATGCCAACCTTCGGTCTTGGGTTGCAATGGATCAACTAAATGAAGAAACATATGAAATGATATTTTAAATTTCAATTTAAAGAAATTACAACATACCCTTCTTAAAACGTTGCACACCCTCCTTCAATTCCGTCAACACCTCCTTGGATGTGCTCATGATTTCCGTTTGCATGGCGGCACGAAAACCGTGTCGCGTATAGGCATTTGTATACAAACTGCTACGATCACTCATCAACGATGCCTGGGGGAACTTTACAATGGAGAATGCCAAATTTACAGCTTGTCCCAATGCCGTACCGGTGGCCACCAGACGATTAGCTAAACCAATTTGCAAAGCCTCCTTGCCATCTATACGACGTCCACTTTCCAGCAACTCTAAAGCTCTGGAATAGCCCACAATGGCTGCCAAACGAGCTGTACCACCATCACTTACCGGCACCCCAAATCGACGATTGAAAAATCCCAATATGGCGGTGTCTTCCATCACCCTTAAATCACACATTAGAGCCAATTCCAACCCACTGGCCACACAAAAACCATTAATGCCACACACAATAGGTTTCTTTGGATGGCGTCTAGTTGGACCCACCGAACCTTCATGACGCAACAGAAAATCTAAACTTCCCTTTTCACATTGTGCCTCCAGTTCTTGAATATCATAGCCGGCACAAAATGTCCCCCCAACACCATACAACACAGCAATGGGCGAGGTATCATCTGCCTCAAACGCAGCCAAAGCATTGGATAACTTTTCAGCCGTTAGGGCATTTATCGAATTACGTTGTTTTGCACGATTTATACCAATCAAAGTAATTGACTCATCCTTATCCACCAGAATGCTATCGTCATCGTTTGAAGGTTCTGAGAAATAGAAAGTCGATTTAAGTAAAAAATTTCACACCTTTTTGCATAACTTGCGCCCCACCTTTATTTGTTTTTGGTGTTACACCTAGTGAGAGATCTCTTTTTGTATTTATTTGAATTTTTGTTAACGACGAAACAAATCTTTTGACATAACTCCTACAGGGATTCATTTTGTATGTAAACAAAAACAAATATCATATGTTCATGTAATACAAACACAACACACACACACACGAGTGACAATTGTCAAATTTAAATTCCAATTGAATTAGGGTTTCCAAGTCATAGTTATTTTGCATGAAACAACCAATGATGGGATTGTTTCATTTGAGCGTAGGCAGTGTTGATTTGAAAGAAGAAAACGTAAGAATCAGGAAAAATAGGGTCCATTTAACAGTTTTTTTTTAGATTTTTGACTATCGAAAAAATGTAAAAGTCATATACCAGTATAAAATGAAGAAAAAGTATGAAACGTAATAAACTTTTAAAACATTGTAGTCCAATTTTTAAGTTAGAACCATATTTAAATTAAGAAGGTAAAGTCATTTCAAATAAGCATATTCATCCCTGCTTTTTCTGTAATTTACCTTGTCAAATTTCACTGCATAGAAAACAGGTTATTCATCGCTGCATTTTCTGTAATTTACCTTGTCAAATTTCACTGCATGGAAAACAGGTTCCCATCTCTGATTTGTGTACAAATAATGGGTTCCCAAGTAAAAATTTTGACAATAAGATGTTGTAAATTAAATAATTTTAAAAAAATTGTGAACATATGGTCGCAGTACTTCTTCAATCTACCCATGGTAGAAGAATATAGGTAGACGCGTCGACACAGCTGCTGGGACAATGAACTGTCAAACCAATTTTGGAATTGAAAATATTGAATGAAAAATTATTTAAATTTGTAAAAAAAATTGAAAAACCCGAAATATAGTTGCCTCCGAATGACGTAGTATAAGAAAACATATAAAAATCTACTTATATTTGAAAAAAAAAACATTTAATTTTTTTGCCATGAGTCTACCCATGGTAGAAGAATATAGGTAGAAAAAATTTTAAAATGTTTTATCAAAAATAAGTAGACTTTTAAATGTTTTCTTATACGACGCAAATCGGAGGTTGTTATAATATGCATTTTTCAACAATTTTTACAAATTTCAATACTTTTTCATTCAACATTTTCAATTCCAAAATCGGTTTGACAGTTTATTGTCCCTGCAACTGTGTCGATGCGACTACCTGTATTATTTTATCCATGGTAGAAGAATATGGGCATCGACACAGCTGCTGGGGCAATGAACTGTCAAACCAATTTTGGGATTGAAAATTTTGAATAAAAAATTTTTTAATTTTGTAAAAATTGTTGAATAACACGAATTATAATAACCTCCGAATGGCGTCGTATAAGAAAACATAAAAATCTACTTATATTTGAAAAAACATTTAATTTTTTGACATATCAATGCTTCCAAGCGTTGATGCATCTACCTGTATTCTTCTGCCATGTATTCAATCAATCTATCATGGAATTGCCATGGTTCATTTGAAAGCATTGTAATTTGACTTACCTTTCAAACCATGACACTCTTTCTCAAAAATTACATTTTTCATCTCCACTTTATTTACCAAACTCATTTATAGGCATCATTGAATTTAATTTAATTAAAAAAATAAAACTAGTCAAACAAATCACGATTACCGCTCACCGCAGCTGAGGTGTCCCAACCAATCGAACGTTCCACGGCCATTTTCCATTTATGATAACGCATATCTCTTTCATTTTCCGATATTATGGGTTTATATTTAATGCGCTCCTCGCCCGCCGACAAGCCTTCTTCGATATTGAACGAGGGTTCTATGGCACGATATGCAGCCAATGCCACTCCCAAGGCTGTGGTCTCGGCAATTTTTGAGCGTATCACATTTATACCGACCAAATCGGATTGCAATTGCAGGAACAGGGAATTAACGGTCATACCGCCATCCACCATTAACTTGGCCAGGGGAATGCCGCAATCTTTTTTCATAGAATCTAAAATATCACGAACTTGGAAGCATATGGATTCCAGGGTGGCTCGTACAATGTGCTCACTGGTGGTCTCTTCGCTTAGACCACAGATGACACTGGAAAAATATAGAAAAAAAACACAATTCATTGAGATATTTTGATTTTGACTTTCTTTAAAAACAACTCACCCTCTAGCCTCCTGATTCCAGTAGGGCGCATAGAGACCACTAAATGCTGGCACAAAATACACATCCAATGAATTGTCCACCAAACGAGCCATAGCCTCCACTTGCCCCAAAGACTCAAACAAACCCAAATTATCTCTCAGCCAAGTAAGGGCCACACCAGCAATGGCCACACTTCCTTCCAAGGCGTATATTGGATTCGAATCCTTACCAAACTGATAGCCCACAGTTGTCAACAAACCATGCGATGAAGTTACTATGGCTGTTCCGGTATTGTAGAGTAGGAAACACCCTGTACCATATGTTGCCTTGGCTTGACCTCTATGCAAACACTGTTGTCCCACCAGCGCAGCCTGTTGATCGCCCAAACATGCCGTAATCGGTATACCCTTAATATCGGTATCTTTAACCAGGCCATAGACCTCTGAACTTGATACAATTTTGGGTAAAATGGTATTGGGCAAACCAAAGAATTTCAATAGATGGGGATCCCATTGCAGAGTTTCAATATTCATTAGCATGGTACGTGAGGCATTTGTGACATCGGTTATGTGAAGTCCCCCATTTTTGGCACCACCAGTTAAATTGTAAATTAACCAAGAATCTAAAATAAATAAACGGAAATGATTGAAATTGCATTGATTTTCAGGAAGTTTCTCTTTCTACCCACCAATTGTTCCGAACATAACATCACCATGATCCATAGCCTTCTTAACGGCCGGTACATTGTCACGCAACCAGCGTAATTTCAGTGCTGAAAAGTAAGGTGATAGGGGAAGGCCACACAATGGCTTCAGATAGTTAATATTTTTGGAATTATTGGGTATTGATTCGATTAGATCATCCACTGTGGTCGTGGTACGATTATCCAACCATATAATGGCATTGTGTAGAGGTTCTCCGGTATGGCGATTCCATACAATTACAGACTCTCGTTGATTGGTGACACCCACGGCAACGATGTCCTATAAATAAGAAATAGGTAAGGATAAATTGTGGCTAGTCAAGAAAATATACATTGGCAATACATATAGGAAAGGTATTCCTAAGTCTGGCCCCGGAATTTCCACGCTATTGGCGGAAGAGAAACTTACACACTTGCGGAAGTACTTGAAGAGTGGCTCATGACATGTAGATAGTTGTATCTTTTGATCTGAATCTACGTATTATAAGTAAATACAAAATCATATTTCCATCTTATGATCTCAAAATATTTCCTTAATTCAAGCTCATTAACTAATTTAATAATTTATCTCATCAAATCTTATCAATAACTGATATATGCATGCTGCACTGAAGTAAGAATCTGAGCCTTCAAAATTACAATCCAATGATTTTAGGAAATTAAAGTAAATTCCGTTATTTTATTTTTAATTTTCTAAAAAAATCATTCAAATCGTCTTTTAAATACGTACCCCTAAACTAACCTCATTACAAGTCTCCCACTCATGCACTTGACATTTTCAACAACAAAATCAACACTCGGCAACCCTGTCATATGATAACACTGGAATATATACGGCAAAACAACACTATTAGAAAAAAGAGTGCAAAGAAGAGGAAAAAAAGACGATAACAACCTTCTAAGCAAGCGGTTGCAGCAAGAAAAGAAACAACGGGAGAGGACGGTACGGTCGGTCGTTAACTACGCTAATAAATTCTCATCAATGTTAATTCAACGTTATTCAATCGACTCGTTAGCCAGAGTTTGCCATAACTACAAATACTTAGTGACAACAAACATCTTGCGACTACGGAAAATGTCGTCCTCAGCTTCAGCACCCCCGCCAACAACAACTGCACCTGATGCTGCAAAGTCCATTATTGCCATAACACAAATGCGCAGCACCAGCGACAAAGGCGAAAATATACGTCAAGTTGAAAAGCTGTTGCAGGAGGCGAAAAAGCAATGTGCCTCCTTTGTTTTCCTGCCAGAATGTTGTGATTTTGTTGGAGAGAATAGAAATCAAACTTTGGAACTGGCCGAACCACTGACGGGTCCCACACTAACCAAATATCAAAGTTTGGCCAAGGAATATGATGTATGGCTATCGCTGGGTGGCATACACGAGTCCGTGCTGGACGAATACGAAAGGAAAACCGATAAGATTTACAATTCCCATGTTGTGGTCAACAATAAGGGGGAATTGGTGAAGATTTATCGCAAATTGCATCTCTTCGATGTGGAGACACCGGAATATAGCTTTAAAGAATCTAAAGTTGTAAAACCGGGGCCAAAGCTAATACCCCCGGTGGACACACCAATTGGAAAAGTGGGTTTGCAGATATGTTATGATATGCGTTTTGCGGAGAGTAGCTTGATTCTGCGTAAACAGGGAGCCGAGATTTTAACCTATCCCTCGGCCTTTTCCTATCCCACGGGTAAAGCTCATTGGGAAATTTTACTCAGAGCCCGGGCCATTGAAAACCAATGCTTTGTTTTGGCTCCAGCTCAAATTGGCTATCACAATGATAAGCGCCGTAGCTGGGGTCATGCCATGGCTGTCAATCCTTGGGGTAAAATTTTGGCCGATTTGGGCGACAAAGATGACCTCAAGGTGGGCATTGTTGAAATCGATTTGGCTACGATTGAACCCATAAGGGCTTCCATGCCTTGTTTCAATCATAGGCGAGATGATATCTACAGTTTAACAGCTTATGGCAGTGGAACTACGGAACCTCTGGAAGATCGCACCTTTGCCAAAAATGTTATAAATAAGGACACAATATTCTTCGAAACCCCCTACTGTTTTGCATTTACCAATCTGTGCTGTGTGGTCGAAGGACATGTTTTGGTCTCAACCAAACGTTCCGTGCCCCGTCTCAATGCCCTGAACTCGGCAGAAATGAGTGATCTGTTCAATACTGTATGTCGTGTACAGAGAATGTTGGAATCCATATATCATACAACAGCAGCTACTGTGACGGTGCAAGATGGTGCCGATGCCGGACAGACTGTACCCCATGTCCACTTCCACGTTATGCCTCGGCGACCCGGCGATTTTAGACACAATGATCAGATCTATGTGAAGCTAGAGGATCAAGTGGAAAACAAAGTCCCCCGCTCAATGGAAGAACGCATCCAGGAGGCACGAAAGTATAGAAGTGTTATGAAATCATTAAAGTTGTAGACCAGCCGATTAATTAAACGAAGACGACGACGATTAATAAAAGATAGTTAGCTATATTTTAGCAATAACATTACGAGTTGTTTTATTTGTTTTGCTTCTGACTTACCTTTACATTGCCACCCAATTTCTCCAATTTGACACAGGCCTCGTCAATGCAGGTCTTCACAATGTCATAGATAAGCACTGGGTCTTGTTCAACCCATCCTTCTTGGGGATAGATCGAGGGAACTTCTACTTGATGGTAACACACAACTTCATCTGTGCCAGCTTTAAAAATAATGAAACGAGCTGATGACGTGCCCTCATCAATCGCACCAACGTATTTCACTTTTCCACTCATCTCACTTTATTTCTTTCCCAAAGACTTCACGTTTTTGTAGAATTTCCCACCAGTGTTGAACGTATTGAGCTTATTCTAGCCTCTATTATCGCGCAGTACTTTGATCCCCGTGAGCGACAAATATTTGGTAATTGTTGTGTTATGCACGGCGGACGAACGATATTAAACAATTTAACCAAAACTTGATGTATTAACAACTTATCGGCTGTTGTTTTTTTATGATTATTATTGCTGTTGTTGCTGTCGTGTTATTTCTCGGAGTCGAGGGCAGCGGCGCAATCAACAACAAGGTGCGTTCTTCTTTCGTTTTCGTTGAAGAGGGGGACAACGACAAGGGTTGACATTATCTCTTTTTAAAACATATTGCCATCAATAAAACAAAATATTTATAAGCGACTTGTCCTCCATTGACTTTTTTGTTTTTATTTCCGAGGGAGGAAGGTAAACACCAATAAAGATGAAATGAAAGCAAATTAAGGGATTGGATTTTGTTATGAAAGAGGGGACCTAAAGTAATAGGCAAATGATGGAACAGCTGTTTCTTGACAGTTGCAAACAGAACAGAGTTGCCAAGGTGTAACTATGTATATTTTTTCAAAAAAGATCAAATGAAACGCAAAAAGTAAACTATGTCAATGTTGTCTTCCAATTGAACAATAACAATGAACTGTCAAACCCATTTTAGAATTGAAATGTTGAATTAAAAGTTATTGAAATTTGTAAAAATTGTTGACAAATGCCCATCATAACAACCTCCGATGTGCGTCGTATAAGAAAAACATATAAAAATCTACCTATTTTTGACAAACATTTCAAAATTTTTTGACATACTTATAAATATTCCCAAGCGTTGATACATTTACCTGTATTTTTCTACCATGGTAGAAAAAATTTTCTAACATGGTAGAAAAATACAGGTAGATGCATCAACGCTTGGGAATATTGATATGTCACATTTTTTTTAATATTTCTGCAAACATAAGTCATTTGTCAATATTTTACCACACAACGCCAATCGGAGGCTGTTATAATATGCATTTTTTAATAATTTTTACAAATTTGAGTAATTTTTCTTTCAAAAATTTCGATTCCAAAATTGGTTTAACAGTTCATTGTCCCAGCTGCTGTGTCGAAGCGTCTACCTATATTCTTCTACCATGTTTTCTACCATGACATAGCCCCACAAAAAATAGTCAAAGGCGTTAAATAGCAAAAATGTTTGTATGCGTGAAATAGTTTTCGTTTTCTTCGAGCGTTTTGTTTTTTTCAAAATCTTGATTGTGGCACACGAAGAAATGGTTCGATCACTACCATTCTTATAACAGATCTTGTGTTGATACAAATATTGAGATATGCCAAGTATGAATGGAATCGGATGTTAATTTCGCGTTTTTGGAGCTTCATGGATATTCAAAATGTTGACCCTTTATGGGGAAGGCACTAGAAGGTGTAGCCCGATATATTCCAATTTCACATCAGATCTTGTCTTTTTTCCTTTTGGTTATTCAAAATGTTGACACTTTGTATGGGAGGTATGGCAGAAGGAGTGGGCCGATATATTCCATCTTCACACCAGAACATGTGTTAATAAAAAAATTGTGATGTCTGTGATTTGAAGACAATTGGACTCTTACATCAATTTTTAGAGTTATAATTATTAAAAATGTTGACCCTTTGTGGGGGAGGTACTTGATGGAGTGGACCTATATTGACAATTTTCGCACCTGACCTAGCACTGATGCAAATATGAAGTTTGATAATAATATTACGATGTACCAAGTTTGAATTAAATCGGATACTCTCTTCGAGAGTTATTATGCGCACTAGCCAGCAGGCACACATGTCCTGAAACGGATTTGTTGAAAGTTACTGGTAGCGTAGCCCGACGTCAAGGAAGTGGACGGTAGACGGAAGAAAACAGCAACATCAGCAGAAATGGTTCGAAAAGTAAAGGAGCAACATGGCCGAAAAACGTCTCGTGAACTGAACATGTCGCAATATTCTATTCGGCAAATATTTAAAAATTAGCTCGGGGTAAAGCCATTTAAATTCCAAAAAGTGCAAGAACTTACACCGCAACAGAAAGAAAATAGACTCAAAAGAGCTAAAGAGTTGCTTCGCTTAGCCGAAAGTGGTGAAGTGCCGAATTTGGTTTTCTCCGATGAGAAAACACGACGGCCATGGTGATGGTATGCCCGCCATAACAGGCGATGGTCGCTCTCCGCTAGTATTAATCGACCGTGGCACCAGAATAAATGTTTACCTTGGGCACGCAAACATTTTTTCCGCAGACCTTTGACATTCCAATAGGACTCAGCACGCGCAACCCTAGAATGGTTACAAAATGAGGTTCTCGCTTCATTTCCAGCGCACAATGGCAATCAAAATCTCCGGATACCAATCCGTTGGACTATTGTGTTTAGAGTATTTTGGAAAGCAAGGTTGGCACTACAAAATACCAAAGTGTCGACCACCTCAAGCAAGCGCTTCGCCAGAAATGGGCCAAAATACCGCAGAGCAACATTCAGGTAGTGCGAGACGGTTTCATGGGCCGTTTGAAGTATATAATTTGTTCCAAAGGTGACCAATTCGAACAAAGTTAAACTTATTCTAAAATTTAATGCTATTTCCGAAATTTTTTGATTTCATTCAATAAAATTAAAAAAAAAAATAAAAACTATGAAATTTGACTTTGTTGCAGTTTTTTATCTAACCCTGTAATTTCGCCAAAATTTGGTTTTTTGATTTCTTATTATGTAGAAATGGTGCTAGCAAAAGAATAAAGGAATATAGGTCCAAGTTTTCGTACACGACAGAAGTTATAAGTACCAAACCAGCTCAGACTGGAATGGTCGAACGAACTAGTTCATCAGGGAGGTTAGAGTAGCATCAAAAATTAATATGAATATGAATGAATATCGTCCTCGCATACCATCCCACATTCGTTTCGGCTAAAGATCGTCAGCTATCTTCACAAATCTTTAATTTTGACCACACTACGTTGAAAACTGGCCAAAGAGGTGCAATTTCTCAAGCGTATGGCACTTGGATTACTACAACAGCAAACAGCAGGCCAGGCGTCACATTTCGGATACGTGAGGTTTCAAACTTAACTGGTCCAAGGTATTGCTTTCTTTACTCCAAAAGAGCACATCAAAAATTAACAATGTTTTTTATTTTGATTTGTTTTTTATTTTTATTTTGTATTTTTTTTTTCATATATACAACGAATTATTATTTAGTTTTCTTTTTTTTTTAATTTGTTTGTTTGTTTTATAAAAATAAAGAGATAATAAAATATGAACAACAACTAAGAGTTATATTAGAATTTAAAATTCTGAAATTTTCATTTCAAAATAATTTGTTTTTTTTTCTTTTCCGTTTTTATAAAATTACGTTTATATTAGAGAAAATTGTTTTATGCTTAAATAAGATTACAAAATAAAATGTTAAACATATTTAAATTAATATATTTTTTGCATTTTGTTGTGTTTATAGTTTTATTGGTTGTTATTGCTAATAATGTTATTTTTCATTTTCATTTTAATTTTTTTTAGTAAAAATCATTTTGTGTTTTCTTGTTTTTTTTCGGTTATCAATAACTAAAAATTTACTAAATTCATAATTTATTAGCAGAGGAAGTAGTAGTATTGTTTAAACTAAAATAGAAGTTAAATATTATTTTTTTTTTTTTGCTTTTTAAATAAAAATTACAATAAAAAATAATAATTACTACCATATGTATATAATATAATCATAAAAAATAATAATTCCGAGAAACGGGCGCCTTTCCTACATAAATGTATGATATTAACGATAAAGTTCATGATGATGATGTTGACCATGACGACGAGACGGACGACAACAACAATAACGCAATGTTAACATTAGGTGTGTCTGGTTACTTTTCCAGCAACTTCTTTCTGAGAGATTAAGGTAGTTTTATTCTCTTTTGCAAGGAAAATGCAAATAGTAAACAGACGGCATTCATGCAGAAGCTTGCAACTAATCAGCTGATTTGTCAAGACAAACCAAACAAGAATTAAAACAAAGGAAGCAACACTAATTTTACAAGTTTTTTTTTTTAATAAAAAGAAAGTTAGCAATAAAATAAAAATATGAGCAATAAAGGAAAGATAGATTAGATCTGTTATCCGGAATCCTTTAAACGTGCTGCCGTTTGTTGACAGTTTGTCTAAAAATGTTGCAAATAGTCTTTTATTTTCTTATTACATATTAATATTTACGGGTTTCACATTTTGTAAAGTTGTTCTCCAAAAACAATTACACTTGCTAATTCCAAAAAAAAAAATTATTTTCTAATTGAAAGCACAAAAAGAAATAAACAAACAATAGAAAACATCTGATTGAAGAATGTCGGTGAATAAGAAGAACAAGAGTTGCAAGTGATTGCATGAAGAAATCTGTCCAGCAAGAATTTGCAAACTCTCACTGAAAGAACTGTCAAAATTTCTCTTCCCAACCGCTCTCTTTTGCAGAACTTTCGGGACTTCCAGTAACAATTTGTAAAAATTGTTACAAATTTTAGGGTAACCAGACACCCCTATTATTAGTTATATAATTCGAAAAGGGGAGATAATGAAATTTAAAAAAAAAAACGTAAGAGAATATTGACATAAAAGGTGTAGATGGTGTAATTTAAAATACATATATATAATTATTTTAGTTAGAGAATTGCTTTTCTTTTGTTATAAATTAGTTGTGACAATAGTTTTTTTCTTTTAATATGTTGTATACAATATTGTGGGTTTTTTTTGGGAGAATTGGCAGACCACGGAGACGCGTAGCATTGAGGGGATATTAAAATTATAAAAAGACATATTTTCAATATTAGCAGTGAGTCCCTCCTTTAACCCCTGCATTCGGTTACCAATCCAATTGAGAAGTATTATTGATTTTCTTTTAACCCTTTCAGTGTCAATGAAAATTTTTGTCGAGATAAAAATTTGAAATTCCGTACTAATTTACTAAAATGTGCTCAGAAATTCGAAAACGAAACTAATAGAATAGAACTGCAATATTTTTAAATAGCGAACGTGTCTGTTATTAAAAATATCAAAAATAACGGTTCGTAAGAAAAACAAAAAATGGAAAAGAAGAGAGTACTTTTAAATGTCAAATATATTTGACAAAAACACTGAAAGGGTTAAGGCATATACATACGTACACACGTATAGCATCATATCACATGTATGAATATGTGTAGTTTATATATATATATTTTTTATTGGAACATATGTAGTAATTGTTGATTTATTTTTCTTAATATAGCCAGCTATTTGAATATATATTTCAAATAGTTTTCATTATATAAAAAGGCACTAGTTTTTGTTGTTAAGGCATTTTTCTTTGTCAATTTTTTTAGGTTATGATATGTTTTTGATAGCAATGTGTATGTGTGTTATTTAGTTAATTTTTAGTTAAGATATCCCTTTTTTAATACCATTACTTCAGTTTATAGAGCACATGTATGGACC